AGGAGAGGAGGATATTAAACTTGTGCAGGCATCAATCATTTGGTTATTCCAGTGCTGCACACTACTCCTTTGCGTCTGTTAATCAATGGAAGCAATACCACCTTGACACACTCCAAAGAACAAATTCGCACCTGCTATGACTCAAACCACCGAGAACATACATCCCCATTCAAACACTAGCGTTTTAACCCTTCCAAGTACGCAAGAAGGGCGAGGTATTTAGATCTCTAAATCTACCAGCTCCTCAATGCTTCATCAGAAGATACTCTTGGAACATAGTGGGGACGAGTTCACAAGCAGTAGTGCAAGTTGTATACTATGTCCTCTGAACTGAAAAAGCTTGCATCCGACCTGTTTTCAACCAATCATTGACAACGCGAAGAAAAGCATAACCTCTATGGAAAAAGCAAAAGGCACTGCAGGAATGTACCCTCACGAGCTGAGTAAACCAAATCGACATCTGACGTCGCACGCATGGCTCCAGCACCGGGGATCTCTCTTCCGGAACAGAAGCCTTCATGATACTATCCAGGACCAAGTAGCGTACCAACCATTGAACTACAGAAAATCACATTCTGGAAAATTCTACACATTCATTCCGACCGCTGTAATAATGTGAGGCTGCAAGCGAAACTTATCCAACAGTAACAAAGTGATCTGTAGCAGACCACGCACAGGTGAATACAAAAAAAGAGCACCAATGAATGAAGTGGCGAAAGACAGGTAACCAATACTGGCGGTTGAGAAAACGGAGTTACTCGCCACTTACCGTGCACGTATTATAAATGTGCCTTCAGAATGTGCTTGAAGTAGTGAGCACACACTCGTACTCAGGATCGTCTCCATTATCACCATGACAACATGTCAGCCCCGGCAATACCAGATATAACGTACATTGATAGAAACCACAACAGCAGGTTCTTCTATCGATATATCAATAACCCAATCCCACCACATTATCGCGAAAATATCAAGAGAACGATCCAGACCAACGTATACAACTCTCCCTATGAAGTCGCCAACTCAGTTGGAACTTCAGAAAGTGACGCACTGTGCCTATTAATAATATCACTAACGGAGTGATCCGAAAATGCACACTTTCGGGCACATGAGGTGTCTTCACTTGATACAAGAGATGTAATGATTAAATATGCCAAAAAGTGGTGCTAATTTTGAATACATGCCGTTATTGTCATAGAAGCCCATCTGAACCTCAGTAAAGCAACACAACACACTGGTCATCATACCTGTGTGTGGTTGACATACTGATCAGGTCGATACTGTGAATAATGTAAGACTCTTGAGCTCTGGAATTCCTACCTCACACTTCTTTGCTAACATTTTTTGAGTTAGGAATAAACTAGCGTACCCGTGCGAGAACTCTTGCATGTTAAACCCCGCTTTATATTCTATCCTTCCATTTCCATGTTAAGATAAAAAGTTCTGAACAAAACTTCTATATTTGTTTAAAAAATGGTAACTTCCAATGTACTTATAGAACATTAAATAAAAATAACAAACAATGAAATCGATGTCTGAAACAAATTTTGAATAACAATA